ACGCCCGTCAGCTGGCGACCCCCGGACCTGCGCCCGTCGGCCGGAACGTCAGGCAACGCTTTGGCCGGTGCGGAGGGCGAAGCGGAGGCCGCTGCAGCGCCGAACTCCTGCGCCCGTCAGCTGGCGACCCCCGGACCTGCGCCCGTCAGCTGGGAGGTCTGGAGACGGAGCAGGCTGGCGTGGAGGGCGATGGGGAAGCAGTGGCTCGGCGGGCGGGGTCCTGCCTGTGCGCGAATGTCAGGCCCACCCGCCCCATCTGTAAAAGAAAAAGTCTTCCGCCCAAGCATAACACAGAGGCTTGAGACACGGAGGCGCGGGACGTGGAGCGGCGCGGTGCGGTGGGAGGCGGCAGGACGGGGGGAGGGGTTACCTGCATCCTGCCAGCCGAACTCTGGAAGCCTGCCTGAATACCCGTATTTTCCGGCGTATAAGACGACTGGGCGTATAAGACGACCCCCGACTTTTGAGAAGATTTTCAGGGTTTAGAAAGTCGTCTTATACGCCGGAAAATACGGTATGTAAAATTAAGAATTAATTTTTTTCATATCAATTAAATAACATTATAGAAAAAAAGAAGAACAATTAATCTTATTTCTATAAAGGCCTTAAGTTTTGAAATTCAAAAAATACCACCTGTATAGTGATAACATTTTTATGAGGAGTAAATAATACAACTATGGTACTAATTAAACTAATTTTCTCTCACAACCTTGGGCTTCTGTAAAATGAATGAGAATGGTGCATAGCAAATAAATAGTAAGTTTGATTTTGCAACTCATCCTCCTCCTCATCTGCAAATACATATTTACAGCTCCTCCATATCACTAATAGGTTTTATCAATACAAGCTAATTTTATGTGTTCTGAAGATTCCTCTCCAAAAACCTAATGTAGAAAATGATCTAGAAAGGAGTTCTAAAGCATTCTGATCAAATATCAATCAAACCCAATAAATGAAGTGTGATTCATAGTGATCCCATAATAATATAAAAGGAAATGTGAATTTTATGTCTTTTTAATTAATATTAAAATTGAAAAGAGTTTTGCAAAAATGTTTCACTATAATCTCCTAGTCAGTATCTTTAGTCTCCAAAGGGAAATGCCTAAAAATGATCTCTTCAAACATTCTTTAAAAAAAACCCCAACTTATCTGAGAATTTGAAGAAGGGTACAGTCTACTCAGACTAAAAAGACCTTTTCTATAAACATGGCTTGTAGTACATGATTATTTAAGCAAGCTGTGACACAGCACAAAATGGGCCAAACAAGTCTGGTTATTTTTATCCTGGTATTTTAAGAATGATCATTGAGGACAAGTTTCAAGGCTCCATCACTAAGTACAGGTTCTCTGAATTCCTGCTTTGAGCCTGTAAACCACAGTTGCTCCAACAAGCCTTTCAAACGAGCATGAGAAAAAGAAGGGAAGAGAGCCTTCACCAATGGAAGAAGCAGAAGGTATAAATGAGGATAGGGTACCAATTCTGCATCCTTTCTTCCACTAACTCAGAGAATGTTGACTGGTTTTAATGGCATCCATTCCCAAAATGCAACAAAAATGAATTCCTAGCCATGCTTATCCAAATCACTGGGAAATTATTGTCTAACATATACCTGTCAATACAGTATCCGCATAATGTAATAGTTAAAAACAGGCAAGAGGCAGGCTACAATTTTTCCTTTTATCATCAGCATATCATCTAACATTTTTAGAAACTCTACATACTGTATGACCATCCCATATTACAACATAATTCAAGGAATTTGATTTTGAGTGGTGGGGAAAAAAGGAAGGGCCTCATGCATGTTTTTGTAGAAATGAAAAGACTTATACCTTCTGAACGGTGAATGCAGGTGTGCTGATTATCGCTGAGAAAAAATCCTTCATTGCAACGACATTCATAGCTACCCACTGTGTTGATACAAGCATGTTGACAGCCTCCATTATTGACCAAGCATTCATCCATATCTGAAATACAAGCAGTACCAGTTTGGATCCAATTCCATGTAAGCCTTGTAAGCCACCCAAAGATGCTTTGAAGTGAAATGGGTGATAAATAAATACATAAATAAATAAATAAATAACGTTTATACCAGTTGCACATAAATAATCCATTAAGCAGTAATGAACTAAATATCCAGTTGATTGGATAGTGGCCCTATTTTTCCTATCACTCCTCTTTAGACTCAATAAAACTTAACACTACGGATATTTATTTTTCTAAATAAATACAAAGTTTAATTTTTTCATGAAGCTGCCCACTAAAATGCTTTTTCTAATTTTT